GTGCGCGGCCGCGCACGCGCGCACCTTAGAGGGAACAGTGCCTGTTAGTTATATTCAAAAAGTTTGACATTCCTTGCTTTCCTTGAGAGGATATAATTGACCATAGATTGGCACAGAATGAGATAGGGTTACTACATAGACTGTTATTGTTCCAGAATGCAAAACGTGCTAGAACATCCAAAGTGGTGCTTTTTCAAGTCTACAACAGTCTTCCTCATGGCATTATTTCTGGTACATGCTTAATAAATCTAGGTCCTGCATTCCGTAGAACCAGATTATTTAAGAGGTGCTTTCCTTGCGTAACATCTACCCAGCTAATTAAACTCTGCAAAGTTAGCATGGTCCGAGTTACATTGATTAAACATTGCCATCTGTCAGGACCCAGCACACATTCTCTATTACAGCATCTGACTTTTGGTTTGAGGTTCTCCAAAAATCTGGATGGCCCCCTACTCTGCTGTTGTTTAGAAGAATAATGTTTTGGCAAGGGAGTGTGAGACTAGTTTTTTGCGGCTTGCCAACTTTTATCTTTATCTTTTTACATTCCAATGATTTTACTGCAGTTTCTTTGATTGTTGTGAGATGCCCAAAATCATTGAGTTGGGTAGCATATAGGTTTTACAAATTATCATTGGTTGCACTATCAGCCAGATGTTTAGACAGGATTTGAGATTTTTATTCACCTATTGCAGGGATGTCAAACTTAGGGTTTCGTCACGGAGTTGTCAAGTGATTTATCACAACTTTCCCCCCCTTAACTAAACCAAGTGTGGGCGTGGGGGTTTGACAGGCTTGACCTATTGAGTCCTTCCCAAGGATCTGGGATTGGCAAATGATGTTGTTTGATGGTGCTGAATGTATCCTTACAGGATGTAAGCTGTTCCAGGTCAAATTGCCTTTTACAATTGAGTAATGGTGATTTTGTTCATGCCAATGTGTTCAAGTAGTGCTCCAGATTTTAGGATTGCACCTATCACTTCCTATTGGGATTACTATTACTATTGGTATTATCTTTGTTTTCTTTTGCCAAAGCCATTCTACTCTAGACCATTTGCAGGTCTTTGTATTTTATTATTTTCTCCAGTTACCTCTCTTCTCTTCTGCTGTCTCCAGATACTACCATATCCACTACCCAGACTCTGTGTTTCTTATCAACAATTAAGACTGGGATGCTGTGTCGCAGACGCTTCTCTGCTTGAATTCTAAAATCCCAGAGCACTTTAGCTTCCTTATTTTCTGTTACATTGTCTATTTTGTGGGCCAGTTTTTGCTTGCAGGCAATTGGTACTTCTTGCAGATATTTCATTGCACCATTGTTGCTACTTTGTGATGCCATTGTTTGTAATCAGTGCGGGCAATCTTCTTGCAGTAGCAAAAAGGAGATGGTCTTCTTTTGCTTCTTTGCGGAGGCAGCATTTGCTGTCTGCCATCGTCTTCTCAATTCTGGCTTTCTATGCATTTGTTCTTAAAGCATGATCTTGTAAAGTGAAAATTAGCCCCTCTGCCTCTTTCTTCAATATTCCTGCTGTTGGCCATTGCCATGGCTGGTGTTAAGTGCTTTCCCTGCTTTTTTTTTTTTTTTTAATGTCCTGGCCACATAATACTTTGCCTTGCTATGTCTCCTTTCTATTCTTCATTTGGTCGTATAGGCCAGTTTGGTCCCTCCAGTACTCGCCAGTAAGCCTTCATGCACAGGATTCTAGCTTCGGTGTGTCTTATTCATATATTATTTCAATGTCCTTTTTATTTCTTCAACTGTTTGTTGTACCCTCACCTGTTTTTCTTGGTAAGAAGTGCCTGTCAGCATCGCTGTGTTGAGCAAGGTTATTCATTGTTATTATTTTACTGGTCTTTACTCAGTCTTTTACTCAGTTCTGCTTGAGTCCAGTCTACTATTCCAACTGCGTATCTAATGACAGGGATCACCCAGGTGTTAATTGGCTTGATGCTATTTCCTGCACTCAATGTGGACTTTAAAATCTTCTCCACTCTCAAGATGAATTCTCTTCTAACCCTTTCTGACTTCGGTGTGCTTGACGTTGTCAGTTTAAAGGATGCTTAAAGTATTTATAGTGATCG